ACCACAGCAAAATAAAATTGCACAGGCAACAATTAGGTGTCTCAATAGAGGAGGAGGGATGTGCAGCAAGCTGCTGGGTTTTGTTTGGCAACAAAAATCTGCGTATCAAGGTACTGAATAAAACTTGAATTTTATTTTCTCAGGATTTTCCTTTAAAATTTGGTTTTACCATGCCTGTTACTGCATGGATAATACCTAGTAAAAAATTGTTCTTGCCTGTGAAAACCTGAAAGACTTGATGCTTTATACATATGGCTGTATTTACAATTTAAATAGCATGTGTGCTCTGTCAGCCATAGAAGGGATGGAAATATATGGATTTAATTCCAGCCTATTTTCTCCTTTGGTGAAAATGACCCAATGTTGGTTTTATTCCTGAATTGATAATACTTCAGCCTTGTTTTCAGTATATATGCCTTTTGCTGATGCCCTTTAGAGTCTTTCACACTTCATCTTCCCCAAACCTACTTTTGCCCATAATTCCTTTAGCATGCTACTAAGCAAGGCTATTTTTGAGAGTCTGGGTTTTTAATAACTTTTGATTTGAGAAGTTGACAGGTTGAAAGTCCTTATCTACTCTGATTTCAGTGGAAATTAGATACATAAATATCTCAGTGGAACTGAGCCATAATGGATGAGCTGCTACCAAAACTGTTTCATCTGTTAAGAAAATAGTCCTCTTCAATAGAAGACTGAATGACAACTGAAATTGCATGCTTAAAAATATATATATATAAGGACTGTCACCAAAATTAGTAGTATAACCTTATTTTGATCTTGAAATAACTCTATCAGAAAAGATTTCTTCATCCCATTAATTCTGATGAAAACAGGAGACCCTTATCACTAGCTGCTAGACCAGAAGAGATTAATGTGGTGTTTTCAATGGTGGCATGCTAAGTATGGTGTGCTAAGAAGAAATGTTCTAGGACCAGTGGCAATTAGTATGTTTAATAATATGGAAAGGGAATTCAAATGGAGAAATCATCCTTTCTGGGTTTCAGATTTACATAACCAGTGCTTTGTTTATATTATAAAGAAATTTTAAAAATGTAGTTGCTAAAGAAATTAAATGTAAGAAGCTGTCAGTTAATTTTTAAAGAAAATACTTCCTTTTTAGCTCATAACCAATCTTCCAAAAGTACAATGAAGATATTACCAAGAGAGATCAAGTTAAGAAATGGAAGAAATGGCTCAAGAGTCAAGTAATAAGGAATTACAGTTTTCTCTTGTGGATTTTGTTTTGTGTTATTTGTTCTTGCAATTCTTTTAGAATGTAGAGATCTTCTGTAACTCTTCTTGTGTTTACAGGAAATTTGAAACTGATTTTGGAGTAACATTTATTGCACATATTCAATCACATCCTTTTTCCTTGTGCACAGATTTGTGTGTATTTGGGGATTTTATACAGTTAAAACCATACTTTTGTAGAGTTTGAGATACCCTATCTTTAACACAATCAAACTTGCTACCAAATACTAAAGCAACGAGAGGAGAAATATTCTTTTTACATTCAGGGTATTCTTAATTGTTGCTTTGGGTTACTGCGTGCAAGTATTCTGAGGGCATGTCATTGTCAGCATGATCTGTAAGTAAAGAAAAAAAGGATATTTGGCAAGAATAATATTGTTACAGTGATCAGATATTTCCTTAATGGAATGCTTTTGGTGAGTTTTTTTTTTTTATAAATAGAAACAGAAAACTATAGGTTATGTATTAAAAAAATAAGTAAAAAAATAAAAATAACAATACATGAATGTACTAGGGTTCTTGCTTCAGTAATGGAAGTTTTAAATAATCAGAAACTATTCAAACAATGAATTTATTGTGATTTGCACCTTCTATCTTCTTTCTTTGCTTGCATGCATTTGAAATTATGTTACAAATGTTTATCATGAAAATGACTCCTCCATTTGTCCTGTGTCTGTTCTCTGCTAGGGGAAAACTTATTGAGGGGCCTTTAAAGCAGCCTCTCTCTTTTTCTGAGATGCAAATGCAATATGGCTCTGGAGGCTGATAAATTTTCACAGAGTAAAGGGTACTTTAAAGAGACACTTCCATTGTTCTAAATGTGCTTATTCCATAATAATAATACATTATTATATGAGAACTGCTGCTAATACATAGAAGAACACACAAAAGTTGCTGTTTGAGGGAAAACACCTTTGAATGTGTTTGTGGCCTCATCTGTGGCTGGTGTAACAGGTGTGGTACTTTGTGTGGCTGGGCAGGTCACACACGTCTTGTACTATGCAATAAAAGCTGTGCTTTTTCCAGTTTTAGCTGGGATTCCTAAATGAACCATATTGATCAAATAAGCTGTCATGTATTCAAAATAGTTTGTCCATCCAACTTTAACTTAAAAATATTCTTACATAAACATAAAGATGATAAGCTTTTTTCCTAACATTTGCTGGTTTGGTTGTGGGTTTAGCTTTTCAGCTTGGCCTTGGAGGGACAATACTTACTACAGTGCTGTGATTTGTGGCCAATTCACTTCTGTTGAGGAGTAGTTGAAAATACTATTTAACACAGAGAGCTATAATGCATGCTCAGGTCTTTACAGCAACTGGCCTCATACCTTACTAACTCAAATCCTTGCTATCCTCACACAATGAGCATATATATATACATGTAAGTGTGTATATATATATCTTTATATATATCTCCATGTTACTGTGTACTTGAAAATCTGTGGTGCAAAAAAAAGGGTAGTTAGATTTTTTTACACAGGCAAAGTGACAGCACACATGTAAACTAGTAGCACTCTGCAAAGTAGCTTTATTTAAAAATATATGCTTATGCATATATGTGTCTGCTAGATGATATAACTTTTGAGGCATTATCTGCAGCTATGGAATAATTTACATTAAAAGAGGATTTTTAGTTCTGTGATACTGAATGTTCAGATTCTCAACCAGGATTAATGAGATGTAAGTTAAATTGTCTGTTTTGTCACACACTTTGCATGCTCTCATGGAGGTGACATCCTTTTTCTGTGATTTATGTTCCTAACCTACAATGCACAGGAATATTTCCTTACTTGACTGTTTAGTGATCCTAACTTCTGTGAGGATGGCATATATGCCCCTTTTTTCTGGATGAGTTCTGCTGTAAACACAATTAGGCATACAGTGTCTTCTTTAAAACAAAAATCCCAATATATGCTATTGTTTTCAGGCCCCAAACTGCAAATTTTGAGTAGTGTATAATGTAAAAATGGCACACATGTGGATAATTCATAAACCTATGAGTTGTCAAAGTCAGAAGCATTCAACCAGTTCTAAAAATGTCATTGATGTACATGGTATATTTCAGCCTAAAGGCTGAAAGTATCAGCAGCAATGGGTATTGGATATAAAGCAGCCAGAGCAAAGCTGAGCCTATGGTCAGCCATGTGGAACTGCTTAAAGCCAACGCCTCTCCTCTGAAGGAGCTGGAATTGTCCTATTGAAATATGTGTTCATGGTTGTTTGATGCTTTGAATATCTGTAGTACCCAGTCTGTGAATAAATGTGCTGCTCCAGTTGCTGGAAAAGGAAGCTTGATTCAACTTGTCAGACCTACTGGAAGTTGACAGCTTTATTGTCTTTAGAGCTGTGGATAGCCATGCACAGAGGTAGTGGGTGAAGAAATCTGTGTCAAAATTGAAACAGTAGTATGCAGTTGAACTGAAAATCAGTCTAGGATGTACTGGAAGAGTAAAAAGGTTCTTGGCAGCAGCCAGAAGGAGGTTCAGGTTTTCAAATCTTACAATATTTTTTGGGGAGATATTTTCAAAATTCCCATATGTGTAATTTTTGCTGCCTCCCTTCCTTTATGAAGACATAACCAAGCTTATATTCAGCATTTTTTTTCTTTCTTTGCTTTTATGGACCTTTTTACTTTTTTCATTTTTTTTAAACAAGCAAAGCAAATAGTTTCCAAGTATTCAATGTGTGTGGATAGTAGGATGAGCAACAATATCCTGATATCAAGAACAGCATATGCTTAATAAAGGGAGAAGATTTCTTCCAGTTGTTTTAATGTTTTGTGTGATTTTCATGTTTACCTTTTAGTGTTCAGAAAACTCATCTGGTTTGGATCCTTCTTCCTAGTTTTTGTTTCTGGTATTATGGACAACAAATGAACTCCCTAAAGCTCTTCTCTTTACACAGGAAATGATTGCTTGTGACTTTGACATCTTCCAGTTTTGCTATGGTTCCTTAAATTCCATTTCACCTTCTGTTTTGTTTAGTGTTTGTGTTCCTGTGGTAAAATTTCTCAAACTTAAATATTTAGACTAAGTTGTAAATCTGGTCAGCATCTTTGTTTTAGCCTTTCTATTTAGCTGTTGACTATATAACTTTAGTATTGCCTGCTTTTTTCCTTGGGTGTTTTCTTTTAGTCTCTTTTTTTTTTTTCCCTCTTAGGATAAGTATTAATTATATAAAGTTTGGGTGAGAGGTATTTTCAATTTTCCATGTAGCATTTTTTGATCTGCTTACTTTGCTTACATAGCAGTTGCTGTCCTATCCGTGGCACTAAATTCTTTAAATGTACAGATATTTATATTTTATCCATATTCACATGCCTGGGCCAAAGTATTTACACTGTAGAAGGTGAAAGGAGGGACCTGAATAACTGGGAAGTGTCCAGGGTTTTTTTTGTAATGGGACAGTTTTAGGACTGTGCAACCACTGTGTGTTTGTACCTGTCTTGCTTGAAGTTTCCCTACTGCTTGAAATACTTCTTTGTGCAGTGTAAGTGTGCTTGCTTCGTAATTATTAGCTTGCTCCACAATTTCTGTGGGGTTAAATTAGCACTAGGGAAGAGCAGGTGTATATGGGGGTGTGGCTTTGTTCTGTACATTGAAATAATTGTATAGTATTGACATGTTGAAAACTTGATATTAACAGTAATTGAAGACAATTAAGCACCTAAGTAGAAGGTGAATAGCCTCTTCAAAAGATGTTTTTCTTGTTGGTTTTAAAAATAGTGTTTTTTCTTTCTGTTTCTAGGTTTTCTCAAATAATGATGAAGCCCTTATTAACAAAAAACTACCCAAAGAACTTCTGTTAAGGTAATTGTACATAACATTTTAAGGAGTAAAAACCTGAGGATTGTATGTTGCTTTTGGGTTTTACAAGCTATCAAGTGCTATTCATTCTTTCTTACATCCTCTTGAAATAAATAACACACCTGATTTAGTTCTTGGAATTCTTGACCTTGTTACCTTGATTTGTTTTAATGTGTTCAAGTTATACTGTACCATGGAAGATGTAATTTAGTTGTGATTTTTGACTTGCATGTCAGAAGCAGAAGTGAAATAAAATGTCCATAAAACTTTGGTGTACCAAGTAGTCAGCTGTTCCAGACTCTCAATGTTTTACATCTGTCTGAAGAACCTAATTCTCTAACGTAGTTCACACTCTTTGTGCCATGAACTTTATTATAACAAAATAAAATGAAAATTCAATGGCAGAGCTTCCAAAAAAGTCATTGCTCTATCTAAATAATAAAGTGAAAAGCTCTATCTATTACCATTACTGCCAGTCTGTGTTGTATAAGGTAGAACCAACAGAGGGATCTTTCTTACTGTAGTCATTGGGTTACTCATAAATTTTATCAGCTTGCTGGTATGTGAATAGATCATCTTTGCAAAAGTTGCCTTGAAGACCAAGATCAGTAAGTTCAGCCCATGACTGGTGGATGTCTTCATGCTCTCATATGGTTGAAAGTTGATTTCATGCATAGAATAAACCAACTGCCAAATGTGGAGCTATTGCTTGGATGGATGTGGCCACTGCAGAGCTGGAACTGAACCAGGTCAGCAACGTCTTCTGTACCTACAGAGGGGATTTGTTACAGGCTAATCCTTAAGGTGAAAGAAAAAAAAGAAAAAATATTTGGTTAGGATGGTGCAATTACAGTTTTTAGTAGTGGTGTTATTAAAATTGAGCTGATGATTTTTTTTCCTAATATACTGAAGAGATGTTTGGGTCAGCTTGTGTGTATGTCGCTGCTTTAGTCTGATTTGGAGTGGAAGAATGTCTCAATGGTATTTTGCATCTTGCACTCAAAGAAAATGCTCCTAAAATCATTGTGACTATCACAATGCTCTCACAATGATATTTAAAAAGCAGACTGTTGTTAAAGGAATTGAATTTTAAAAGGCTTTTCGTTTTTGTTGAGATATATTCCATGTGGTGGCAGACTGTAGACTCTTGGAACTGTTTAGAAAATGTGATTAAAAGAGACAGTCACTTAAGGATGCCCTGAACAGGAATTCTCATACCTTTTGTTTTGTTGAACTCAATGTCACACATGAGCCACAAGATAAAAGTCAATGTAGGATGCTGCCTCCTTAGCTAAAAATCATGATCTGCAAGCCCTTCTTTTCAAGCATTAGGACTCCCCAGTATTTATGCAAATTACTATCCTTTTCACTGTTATGGATGCTAAGTATTTTGTAATTGTAATTGACTATAATTTGTTTATATGGTTTAAGTAGTGAAAAGTATCATGCACTGAGATAGTAAGAATCTCTTTTGGAGCATCTTTCCTAAGAGAGAGGCTGAAGGAGTTGGGCCTGTTCAGCATCAAGAAGAGATGACTGAGAGGAGCCCTCATCAATGTTTATCTGTACCTGAAAGGAGGATGCCAAGAGGATGGAGCCAGGTGCTTCTCAGTGGTGCCTAGCAATAGAACAAGAGGCAACAGGTATAAACTGGGACACAGGAAGTTCCACTTCAATGTGAGGAAGAACTTCTTTACTGTGTGGGTGGCCGTGCACTGGGACAGATTGCCCAGAGAGATGCTGGAGTCTCCCTCAATGGGGATATTCAAGAACCGTCTGAATGCAATCCTGTACCATGTGCTCCAGGATGACCCTGCTTGAACAAGGAGGTTGAACTGCATGACCCTCTGTGTTCCTTTTTAACCTGACCCATTCTGTGATTCTCTGATTTTAAAGAATTCAGCAGGAATAAAATCCAAACAAACAAGTCCAAGTAATTAGATTCTGCCAGCGGCTTAGCTGTTTGTTCTTATATTCAAGTTAGCTTTGTACAAAGCAACTTGAGGCTTATCTTGGATTTGAGGAAGTGGTGCAGCTAATCCCTGCCAGTACACTGTTACAGCAGTGTCTAAAGAAGCCTTTTGCATGGTTGAAAGGCTTTGTGGGGCTGGAACAAGAACATAAAATATCCCAGGCCAAGCATACACGGAACTGATTCAGCCAACCATCTATTTTTTGTGCATGAACGTCCTTTTTGCAATTGCATGGTGATTTACTAAAGTAGTGTTGCAGATGTAGCTGGAAGAGTTGATGATTTGAGAAACTGAACTGGGACTGTCAGCTTTCTCCATAAAGAACATGATGATCTCATGGGTCTGCTCTGCCAGAGAGAAAGAAAGTGCATGTTTCATTATACCCACAAGACTGCTGATCACCAGAGTTTTGAAATGGAATGGAAGGAGAAGTGTGAGAGAGGTGCTCTGTAAATCTCCTTTTGAAATTGTACTGCTGCAGGGACAAACTCATAAGGCCAATGGCAGAGCATGTCAGAGAGAGGGACATGCATCTATGCATCTCATCCCTGCAGGATGTGGATATCTAAGGAAGTTTCAGGGCACAGACCTGCCTGTCTAAAGCTTTATCAGTGGAGAATTTGTTTTATGAGCCTTCACCTAAAGGCTGTTGTAAGCCTGAGTCTGAATGATTTTGGACTCCTGAAACACTATCTGTTCATGCTGCAACATGCTTTAAAATTGCCTTGCCCTATGGCAAGACAATGACAGGAGAGCTTAAATATTGCTGCACTGGGTGTAATTAATATTCTAATTGTTTTTCCTTTATTAGCTCTGCAGTCTACCTTTTAATTAAAAGGAGAGTAAACCAGTTGAAGTGGAAACATTTTGCTCAGAGAGCTGGAACTGAACAGTAAATACCACTGAAAGTGTTATCAAATGTACTTAGTTTGCTTCTTGCTTGTATCAGATATGTATGAAAGCTGTTAGCATTACAGCCCACTTTTAAAAAACCCTATTGGACTAATGGAAAAAATGTGATTAATATCTTGTTACAAATACTGGAAATTAAATGTAAACACAATTTCTTCTATTTCCAGAATTGGTCTTGTTCTCATTTGCATGAAGTATTTAAATTTATGTAATCTGGCTATAACAAGCAGTCAGTCCCATTTTTTCCTCTAAAATTGAAAAACTTTTTCCTGATGGTAGACTTAAAAAATAAAACCACTTTGAAATTTATTCACAGAATAGAGTTGCTACACTTGCATACTCTAAAGTTGAACAAAGTTATCGCTTGGTCTTTTACTGCAGTTCATCATCATCATCACCGCTTTTAATATTATGATTGCAATTACTAATGTAACAACCAGAATTATATTGGAAGGTTTTCAAGCCAGTGTCATGTCTGTTGCACATTTTCTGTGGAGTATCTAGTATGCTTCTAAGTAAATGGTTGAGACCCCAAACTTCCCAAGCACAAAACTCGTTTGGAAGGATAAGAAATGAGAGATTATTTGTTTTTTCTCAAGCAGACTCAGATAACTGGGCAGAGGAGGAAGAGGATATCTGATTAATTTGGGCAGTGGTGCTTTTGAAGAAGACCCTTGTTTGGAGGGGCCAGTTATATTTTGAGGTTGGTGGTATAGCTGGAGTGGAGAAAGGGAGGTATTTAATGTGTAACTTTTTCTGGTTTATGGACATTCATTTTTATTTGTAATATTGGAGTATATTTTTACCTGTGAAAGAAATAGTCTGCTTCTAAAAAAACTTTTTCGGAGTATTCAGGCTAAAGGAAAAACTATCACCCCTGTTAGCTGTTGAAGTGCTATTAGTTTGCCAGTTGGCAAGGAATGCTCGTTCCCCTCTACTGTTACATATTGCAAGAGTAAAAGGCTGAATAAATGCTCATTTGTATGATGTTTAAGAATTGTGTGGTGATATTATAAATTGTGCAATTGAAACAGGTTTTGGATGATTGTAGCTTTTTTTTGTTGTTGTTGTTAACCTATATGTTTATGAGAAAGCATCAATTGAATAACCAGGATATTCATTGTAGAATTGAATTGGTGTCTGAAATTCATAAACACTTACCTGTCATCAGAACAATGAGAACTCAAGTCAGGCTAGTACAATTTTAGTGGTAACTTTCCTAGTAAGATCTCCCTGCCTTAAATCGCCTCCTGTTTGTTTGTTTTGGTTTTTTTTTTAATTGCTGGGGAAAAACCCTAAAACAATGGATTATTACAGTTACAGTGTGCATTTGAAAATAAATTGAAACCAAGAAAATGAAGTCTATGTAATTAATGTTAGAATGTCCTGATTTTTTTTTGCTTGATAAAAAGTAACCAAGCACTTTTGAAAAGGCGGATACAGCCAGTTCTTTTGGCATGTAGAAAGATGAGAAACATTTGTTAATTTGTATTTTACCTACTAATGCTCTGTGAAAACTGTAAGTTTTTTTACAGAAGTAGTAAGCTTAAGGAGCAGAGATATTTGTCCCTTTCAGCTGCTTAAACCATTTTCAGTTCCTTTCTGCCTACAAAGTACCAACTTCATAAATTGTACCTCAAATATAGAAACTATTGTGAGTTCTGTTGTAAACCATACTTTTTGAGTGCATGTACTTAAAAGTAGATCTTTGCTGTCAGTCTCAAAATTTGAGTGGGCAATCAGATTTAGAAGAGGAAAAGTAAAGTTTTGGGACTGAAATTAGGAGAGGAACCCAGGAGTGGCATTCCAGCAGCAGCACTTCTTGTAGGCAATAATATGCAGCTTGAGAGTTGAAGTTTTCATGTAATAAACTTTTGATGAAGTTTTTCATTATAATAAAGTTTTCATGTTTCTCTTTTTTGTTTTTATTACTGCATGCTGCTTTTTGCTGAGCTTTTAGTGTGTTCATTGCTGTAGAGAAAAATTTACTGTAAGCTTGAAACCGGTGAAGTCAAACATAGTGTTTGATAGATTTGAAGTGATGCTTTACCATCTGTATGCTTAACTGTGAGGGAAATAGAAAAGAAGTACAGCAAAGGCTACAATAAGAAATTGTCA